CAAATCCTGATCGTCAAGCCCACCCCCTGCTAGTGGATTCTGGGAGGTGAAGTCCAACTCTCTTCCTGGACATCTGTCCTTCTTGCAAACCCCTCAAGCATCATTTATAATAAGGAGGGAATCTTTAAAAAATTTAAAAAAAGACAAAAGCTTCCGCGGGGGGAGAGAAAGAAATAAACTCGACCGAACGACCTCCTTTGATTCTTCCCTCCCCTTCCTCTCCCCCCCCCCCCCCCCCCCCCCCGCGTCCAGATGGAGATGGACCGGTCCTGCCGGCAGCCGGAGCCTGCGCAGTGCCCCGCGGCGCACGTGCGGGGGCGTGGCCCTCGAGGGCGGGGGAAGGGCGTGTCCAAACCCCGCCCCCTTTGGAAGCCGCGTCTGGCCCGCTCCGCGCGGGGGGTGCGCCTCATTCGCCGGTGGGCGCGCGAGCTCTGCGGAGGCTGCGCGCGCAGCCGGCTGAGCCGACGACGGCTTCTTCTTCTTCTTCTTCTCCGGCGAGGCGGCGGCCGGGGAGATGATGCTGGGCGACCCGGCGGCCTTGGAGGAGCCTCCTCCGGCGGCGGCCTCGGCTCTGCGGAGCGAGCTGGGCTCGCACCTGCACCTGCTGAAGGGGCTGAACGTGCGCTTCCGCTGCTTCCTGGCCAAGGTGCACGAGCTGGAGCGCCGCAACCGCCTGCTGGAGAAGCAGCTGCAGGCCGCGCAGGTGGGCGAGCGCGAGCGCCGCCTCCGCTACCGACGCTTCCCCAGGCACCAGGCCGTGCAGACCGACCCGGAGACGCCTCGGGGGGCCGCCGCCGCCGCCCCGTCCTCCTCCTCGGCTGCTTCTTCCGCTTCTGCTTCTGCTTCTTCTTCCTCCTCGGCTGCCTCCGCCTCGCCTTACGGCCGCCTGCCCGGCACCATCTGGAGCTACACGCAGGTGCGGCGGACGGGAGGAGGCGGCCTCGAGACCCTGCAAGGGCCCGGCGTCTCCTGGGTCCACCCGGACGGCGTGGGCGTCCAGATCGACACCATCACGCCCGAGATCCGCGCCCTCTACAACGTCCTGGCCAAAGTCAAGCGCGAGAGGGACGACTACAAGGGCAGGTGAGGGTCGCCGCGTGGCCTCCTTTCCCTCGAGTGGTGGGGGGGGGGGGGGGGGGGGGGGGGGGGG